TTTAAACAACGTATTTATATTTTCAAAGAAGCCCCCCTAACACCCTATTTTACCAGGTGCAAAGGACACAGTTTTTAAAGAATTCATGCAATTCCAATATATAATCAATTAGAACCCCGCCCTTGTACCAGAACCCCAGACCCAGGGACAATGAAATTCATAATTTTGGGAGAAACACTTATATAACGATTGTTTAATTAGTTTGTTTAATACCCAGGGGCAAAGGAGAAGATATTCAAAGAATTAATGCATTTTCACTACAAAATCAATTATAGCCCCACCCTAACACCAAAGAACCCCTACCCAGAGCCAGGAAATTCACAATGTTGGAAAAGGAACTCCTGGTCATCTTAACTATGTACTTAGATTGTTTAATACCCTAGAGCAGAGAAGAAGGTTTTCAATGAAATAATGCACTTTGTCTATATTATTTATATAGCCCCACACTAACACCAGATCCCTTGACCCAGAGGCCATGAAATTCACAATATTGATAGAGGACTCACAGTTTATTACAATCATGCCAACAGTTTGACTGCTTGATGTCGAGGAGTGAAGAAGATTTTTAAAGATTGCATTAATTTTGCTTATCCCCATCCCGCAGGCCCCAGGGAGTAGGAACCATGAAATTCACAAATTCTGTTTCCCTTCTCACATAGATGCTGAATACTAAATTAAGTTGAAATTGGGTCAGTGCTTCCAGAGTAGAAGTTCAAAAGTTTACGACCATCGTACGATTGACAACGGCCGACGTTCGGAACACGGACGAAAACAGATCACCTGAGTTTACTCAGGTCACATGCATTGTCGGAGGTACTCAATAGCCTGTACAAAATTATACATTGTACGCAGAGGTAGGATATCGATATACTGTGTACATGTAAATAAAAACAAAAAAAAACTTCTTTTAATGTTTTAGAATAGTTTTTTTTATGAAATATTACATTTGTAATGCTTGTTTCTAAGAATGTTTTGACAGTATTTTTGTCTTTTTTCTGTATGTCTGTCCGTCGGTTTGTCTAGCTGTTTGTCTATTTGTCATTCCCACTGTGTATAGTACATTCGTTTCCAGACAATATTTCAAAAAGGACTTTAAAATGAAATTATTTTTATCATATTTTCCTATTGCTAGATAGAAACCCAGTGTTGCTAAATGTTAACAAGGCGGTGCCACTGCTTTTCTGTATTTAGTTTTAAATGTTCAAATACTGTAACTACCCCGCCTTCAACCTGATACATTGTTTCATTGGTGTTTCAGAAAACTGGTGATAAGCTTATTTCTTCAGAATAAATTAAGGAGAGCTGTAAGTTATATATTTATTCCAAAGTAGTTTAAACTTCCATCTTCTGAACTCGTATTGAAGTTGAAACGTCAACACAAGCAATCATGGTTAATTGTAACGTTTCCCCTCGTTTTTTCATGATGGCTGTCCTATTGGAAAGCGTGATTGCAGCCTCTCGTAAGTATTCAGTAGACCTGACTTTTGATGACAAGAAGTCTGACAGGGAATTTCTACCAGAGTACAACGCCCAGTCCCTGCCCTTTTGTTCTGCTCTGTGTGGCTCCTCCTGTGGCTGCTTTGGGTTTAACTCCAAACACAAGAAGTGCCGCGTCTATAATCCCTGTAACCAAACAGACATTACTGTAGCTGAAGAGGGATGGAGGAACTACTTTCCTGAAGGTAATATCACTAATAGATTTATTATTTGTATTGAATTAAGAAGATTTTGTTAATTGTATATTCTATATAATTCCATGAAAGTGTATTTCTATACAATATTTGTACAGCACTTCCCCGTGACTGCCATGACTTTCATCTTAAAGGTCAGATAGTATTCGGTGTTAACCAAATTTATCCTTTTGATAATACTACATCAATCAATGTTCAATGCAAGATGGAGAACAATGACGCATGGACGGTAAGAAATCTCTCTCTCTCTCTCTCTCTCTCTCTCTCTCTCTCTCTCTCTTCTCTCTCTCTCTCTCTCTCTCTCTCTCTCTCTCAAAATGACATTTCAGCTATTGTATTTTCGAAGTTCAGGTAAATGGTTATCAACAGTATAGTTAAGCCCAAAGAGATAATGTGAGTTTGTTTCCAATCATACTAAATCATTACTTTATCATGATTTGTAGTTGGATATGATTTAATTCTAACCAACATTTTTTTTAATCATCGAGCCCTTGCAATGCAAATAATGGTAAATAAAAGATAAGAATTATTAAACGTCAATCAGTATTTTTCGACATTATAGATACTAGCTAAGATGTTTTTTTTTTAATTTGAGTTTCTGGCGAGATATATGTTCTACAGTTCCCCCTCTCTCTCTATCTCTCTCTCTCTCTTATTTGAAAAATATACACTTTATCTTGTAGTTTTACACCTTCAGTTATGAATGTCACGAGGTGAATCAATAAGGTGATTTGTAGGTTATCCAGCAACGGCGGAGTGGATTAAGTTTTAATAGAATGTGGACGGAGTACAAAAACGGATTCGGCAATGTGGAGGACTCCTATTGGTTTGGTATGTGTTAATTTCATCATTTCTTATAGAGGAATTACTCCTTTGTAACATATAATTTCTCTTATTCTTACTTTGTAATAAAGATTTTAATAAATTGTTTCACTTGTCAAGAAGGCAGTATAATAATATCTTTTATCCTATCCTGTAGTTAGATCTTTTCAAAATTTATTAATTGATTCCTTTTGGTGCATGAGATAATTGCAATCGAGAATCAAAAAATATATAGACTGACATGTATTTTAAAAGAAAGAGGGGAATTAACTGGGTCAATAATTATACAGGAAATGACGTAATACATCAACTTACCAAGGGAAGGAACTCCTCCCTCTACGTCTCCATCACACTGACCAATGGGACAAAGCTCTATGAATTATACAATCAGTTCTCTGTTGCTGATGAAGCCAACAAATACAGACTCTTTCTTGGAGGTCCAGCTACCGGGATCCTGGGTAGGTAAAAAGGAAAAAAATGTACGAATGACAATCAATTCAATTCTTTATTTGCAAAAGACATACGTCTTATAGCATTTATACAATATAAACAAAAGAAGTAAAGGAAATAATGGCTGGTCAGTTTTGTAAACCCTTATGATACATGTACATATATACATATAAACTCATTTTAACAGTCTTTACAGTTCATGTGGAGAATGACATGTAATAAAGCAGATATAATCATATCAATCATATAATAATATATAGTAGTAACAAATCAGCAAATGACACACCATTACATTATTAAATCATTTCTAAGCGCGAGGGCTTTATAGATAAACTTCCCTAAACTACAGAGTTCTTTTACATTATTCACACTTAGCAACTGTATTAATTTGTACATAGATGGCCTATACCAATAATATTTTTTCAAAAACTTTGCCCGCAATGTTGAATAAATTGGGCAAACAAGTAAAAAATGGTATTCATCTTCAATTTCTGTAGTACATATTTTACAGAATCTTTTGTCTCTTGTTATATTTTTATGCCTACCAGTTTCTATAAACAGATTATGCGAAGACAACCTCATTTTAGAAATACATTTTTTGTACACCTTTGGTATTGATTTTTCTAAATAATATTGCAAGCAAAAATTGTCAATTAAAAGAGAGAGAGAGAGAGAGAGAGAGAGAGAGAGATTAATTAGTCTTGTTCAATAAATAGTTAAAGGTCATTTAATGATATGCGATCATTATAACAGTTGTTTTAATACCTGTGTTTGTTTTAAATAATTGATACGCATCATTTTCAATGTTTTACAATAAGATTAATACTAATAATTATTATATAATTATAAGGTTGTACAATATAAATTATATGTAAAATATAGTCGGGGGTTTTCTTTAACTTTTATTATTATAAATTGAAATTATCTGATTTGATAAAAATGATAGTGTTATATTATAGTGTTAATAATATAGATGAATTTTTACAAATAGGAATAATTTGATTCAATATAGATAGTCATGTAATATTTCATCTTTGATACTGCTCAGTATATCATATACATATAGTTAATATAGATAATCATGTACATGTAATATGTTCTCTTTGATTATTGTAGGTGATGCTATGCTAGACACCGGCGATCCTGATGAAGATCTGTCCGGGGTGGCGTTCTCCGCCCCGGACGGAGACAACGACGGATATAATGGATACCACTGTGCTGTTTCTCACGATGGAGGCTGGTGGTTTAACTGGTGTCACAACGCCTACCTCAATGGTCCCTGGTCCCCGGCATTCTGGGTCCAACCGTGGTATCCACCACTTAAGAATGGTAGTGATATAACGGAGACTGTTATGATGATAAAGCCTCACTGATTACCTTATATGACGTGTAACTTGTGTTTTACTTGTGGTTAATATTGTCGATTAAAGACTTTTGATTAAAGTTACGACATTCAATCAGTTATGAGGTTTCTTTGATGTTAATGTTGTTATAAACTTATTATCCAATAAATAACTGCATTTATCTTTCTGTATAATAACTTTCTATATCGTATTTTATTATTAATCTGATGATGTTATGAAGTAAATAAATAACAATGAAACATATGCTTATTCCTGATACACGCCATGGATTTTAAAATGATTTCCCGCGTGATAATGTATAATTGCAATCCAAAAGAGGGATTTTCTTTAATAATAAGGCTCTATATGTTGTTTTTATTAATCAATTACGATATCTATAATACTACAGAAAAAGAACCACTATATGCTAAAACGCCTGATGACCTTTTTTCGATTTGTGAATAATACACAACTAACATTTGTAGACAAGGGTATAAAGGGATATACATGTATATATTAGCATTAGTATTTTTATGACAAATGTAATCTCATAACTCATAAATTTCATTGATTAAAGTGCATTAATATTTGGAATCCTTAATACCAGGGACTTTGTTTTAAAAGAAACAAGATGCGTGCCTGAGACATCAATGCCCCCGTACGGCAGCTTTTGAAGAAGATTAAAGTTTTTCAAATGTAAGACAGACTCAAGAGATGAAAGATCTTGTTACCCAAATAAGGTACCTGACCCACTAAATACTCCTCTGAAGTATGAGAGCCCAAGCACCAACCATTAAAAGTTATTAATAAGATTAAACTTTTTTTAATATACTTCAGACTACAAGGCCAAGGTCAAAGAGTCAAAGTATTGGTATCTAAGAGAAGCCGGTCCTGTCAATAGAAAAATTCATGTGAAATATTGAAGCTCTGGAAGCAAGTGTTAAAATTTTCGGCCAAGTTATGTTCTTCAACAGGTTGATCAACCTATATAAGACCAAGGTCCAATTTAATGGTCAACGTTGTTGGTATCTTGTTACAAGTTCGAAAGAAGTTATGGACAAGAGCAAAGTTTCTTAAAGTGGTTCAAACAGAAGTGCAAAGGTCAAAACTTTAAATGTGTTATAAACTCAAATTACTCAGCTATGTTAAGGAAGGTCAAAGTTCACATTTCTGGTTACAGCATATTGTTAGTTTAATTGTGACGTCATTGAAATCTAACAAATAACAAAAATAAATCAATATGATCATGCGTAAATAACAACTTTAATTTATTTATTTAACAATTATTTATAAAATCTTGTAAAATTGCAATACTTGATAGCAATTCAGTCGAGAAATAAAAGAAAGTATTTTGTCAAAGATGACGTCATCAGCCTTGACATGACGCAGCACAGGTGATCCAGAGGACTATATTCACTGGTTTAAAATTACAAGAATTCTTAAATAAATATGATATAATCGCCAATTTTTACTTTATCATAAAAACTAAAAAAAGTAATTTATAAAAACAATTTGTAAAGGATATGAATTTCCAGTAGCATTAGAGCTGCACAGGGTCAAGGAGTGTAGAGTATATCGTTTATAACGATAAGCGTATTCGTGATTTTCATCAAAAGTGTTAGGGCATAGACTATTTTGTTTGAGCTTAATTATGGAACATTTATTGCTTATTTAGTGTATATTTTTAAAAGTGCTGGGAGCTGATCCTGGCCTGCATAACACTATTTTTATTTCTAACAGAATTTATACGAAGTGGAAATTTTAAGCTATTATTTGCATTTCGGAAAAAATTGCAATACTTTGCAAACAGAACAGACTAGCTCCCAGCACTTTTTTGGTAGAGGTTATAAACATCTTTAAATGTGTATTAATTTTTTTTTTGAAAAACAAGCGTATGCCCTTGCACTTTCCTCATTTCCTGCATTCAGCTTAACAATTCTATATTTGTACAAGTCTCGTGACAAACAGCTCATACATGTGATATTACTAGTAATAAATACGGCCCAGTCCTATCCATTATTGATAGCAATGTTACATTTTGTACAAGTATTCAGTTGCTTTGTTACAATTTTTTAAAAGAAGTAACACATATTAAAACGCTACAAAGGTCACATTTTCCATATCGTTCCTTAACGTCTTATGGAATATACGTGTGTATATGTATGTAATTATGGAAACCCTAGCATCAACTGTTAAAAAATACTGTCATGGTTAAAATTTAAATTTGCAAAAGAAGGTCAAACGCCAAAGTCAAATAGTAAAATATGTGTGTAAATGAAGGAAGACCTTTTCTTGTGAAATACACATCTGAAATATGAAAGCCATAGCTCAAACAAATCAAGAGTTAGGTAAGGTTTTGCGGACAAACTGTCGGATGGACAAACAGGGCAAAACTACCATACCGGTACTCCAAAATCTTCGTTTACAGGGGCTTAAAATGAATCCATTTATCCAGAACTTCAATAAGGTCTTCATCATTTAAACTAGAAAAATGATAAAAAAGTCTACACACAATCTACTAAAGATTTACATGTCTTTGTTTGGAAAGAATTTTGTTGAATATATTCACAACTTGGATGACATGCCGCGAACAACGAATACTTATCATACAGCACTAAAAAGCAAACATCAATTATAAAATTAATGAAAACAAAGATGTGATGTCTGCCTTTCTATTATTACCGTGTTATGATAGAAAACATATTTCAACATTTTGTAAATTTCATAAAAATTTTTATTTCATTATAAATGGTTAAATAATACAAAAGAGCAGATTTGAAAACATTAATTTATTTTCAGACAATGTAACCAGCCCTCGCCATTACCCCTGACCCAGTGGCCCTGAAATTTACCATTTTGCTAGATGTACCTTTCTTATCATAAATATATAAACTAAGATCATTGGCATTAATACCAAGATGCAAAGGAAAAGATTTTCAAAGAATTCGTGCATTTTCAATATATTTTCATTTGAGCCCCGCCTTCAGGATACATCAAAGGTTTCAAAAGGGCAAAATTTAATTTGCTTGTAAATCTTTCGTTATCAAAGATAACATATTATAAGTATATATCATTTGAAAGCTTGTTAAATGTACTATTTAATAATTTTAGTTTAAACTTTCAGTTTTATCTAAGTAAAATATTTTCATGTAATTATTACTGCATTTATATTTTATCAATCAACATTTTTGTATTCAACCTCTCAAAGTCATCACTTTGCATCAATGTACATTAAAGATTGAACTTAAAAACCGTATCTCAGAATTTTGATAATTCGTCTTATTTAAAAGTTACATCCATTCGTTCTTCAATGTTACCAATTTATTAGCCCAGTTCTACATTTCCAACATTAATTCGAGAATTAAGCAAGATATTAAAAATCTGAGATACGGTTTTGTAAACACGCATTTGAGACGCATTCTGACGAGTTTTCAGAGAAATTGGTCAATGAATAAGGAACTGAGTCCTTTGAAATAATCGTCTAATCTTACTGTACAGTAGAGGGCAAAAAAAAAAAACCATTACAAAGCAAATTCTGCCGAAACTAGATACCTTGGAGATTCAGCTTTGGATACCTGTCATTTATCCATATTATCCATATTTCCAATGCATATTCACAAGAATGGGAGGTTTTATTCTTTATTTAAGTGCTTTAAATGTAGTAAAATAGGTTCAATTCTGAATCAGAAAGATTACCCGGAAAAAAGGCAAGTGCTAAGCTCCGCCTCCTATTTTATGGTCATTGATCTCCTTCCTTGAATAAAGAGTCCCTCTACTTTAATTGCTGATAACCTCTGTGTGGCTAGTGAAGAATTCTCCGAGTAGTCACAGTGATTTCAGAAGCAGGCAGTTACAGACAAAATCAGAAGCTTCAATAACGGCACGTTCACATGTGTTTGTTTTTATGTTTGATTAATGTTAACTTATTGGAAAACCATTTAATAATCAGCATTTTAATAATCAGCAAGAATTTGTATGCATTATAAAGCAGAGATTAGCATCGTTTTCTTAGCCAAAAATCTCAAAATTGACAAACATCTTGAAAAAAGCCGTTGGAGTATCCTTTACACCAGAAACCCTGATCCAGGGGGCCATGAAATTCACAATTTTGGAAGAGACACCCTTCCTCATAATAACAACGTACATAGTTCATTGGTACAATACGGAGGAGCAGAGAAGAAGATTTTTAAAGAATTAATGCATTTTCACTATATAAACAATAGAGCCCAACCCTAACACCAGAACCATGGCAGATGCAGCCCTATTCAATTAAACTATATTTTGTTTAGTTTATTAGTTACCTAGAAGCAGAGGAGACGGTTTCAAAGAGTTAATGTATTTTCTATGCATAATCAATATAGCCCTGCCCTAAAACCAGGTCTGGGGGCCATAAAACTTAGACGAGCTCACTTTGGATCTCAGTCTCACTTTTCCCAAAGGAATTAATTGTGGAAAATTAAGACTGGGATTAAAAGTGAACATGTCTAAGTTTTATGGCCCCCAGGCCAGACTCAGGAGCCATGAAATTCACAATTTTGGAAGAGGCCTTCTATGTACTTACTTAGTTTGTTTAATACCCAGGAGCAAAGAAGTAGAGGAAAATATTTTTGAAGAATTTATGCATTTTTACCATATAATCAACTAGAACACCACCCTTACACTATAACCCCTGACCCAGGGACCATGAAATTCACAATTTTGGAAGAGACACTCTTGTTATTTATAACTATTTACTAAGAAAGTTTGTTTAATACACAGGCGCAAAGGAGGTTTTTGAAGTATTCATGCATTTTCGATCTATAATCAATTAAAACACCGCCCTTACACCAGAACCCTGACCCCGGGACCATTGAATTCACAATTTTGGAAGAGACACTCTTGTTCCTCATAACTTTGTATTCAATTAGTTTGTTTAATACCCAGGGGCAAAGGTGAAGATTTTCAAAGAATAAATATATTATCACGAAATAATCAATTACAGCCCCGCCCTAACACCAGAACCCCTGACCCAGAGGCCATGAAATTCACAATTTTGGAATAGGCACTCTTGGTTATCATAACTATGTACTTAATTACTTTTTTAATACCCAGGAGCAGAGAAGAATTTGAATGAAAAAATGCACTTTCACTATACGTGTATATATCTGTTTATTACAATCATGCCAACAGTTTGACTGTTTGATGTCAAGGA